ATTCAGACAAGGATGATGTTCCTGCCTAAAATGACAGAATTCAAATGCAAGAGCGCTCGGCTTTATACAGTAAATACACATCCCTTTGTCACTGTTCTTGGCTAGCAGACCTAGAGATGAAAGAGATCAGCTGATGAAGTACCACAAGATGAAGGATTACCTGGCTGTGAATATTTCAAACTAAGATATATCTAACTAACCAGCTCATGTGTAAGAAGTCTACTGCTTCAGAATGTGCAAAAAGTGGCTATCAGCTGTTCGAAATAAAGCTGTTTCAGAATAAGCATTCCACAAAATATTCCTTGGACTTGATCTCACACAGACTCCTGTACACAAGGTACGTGAGCTTTGTGGACCCGAGAGCTCCTGGAGGAGCTACTGCATGGATGTTCAGGATCTATTCCACAGATTTGTCACATGAGAACGAGCAACAGGACAGAGAAAGATCTCCCGGTCAAGTGTTTTTCAAACCTAAATTGCCATGTCAGGCTGTAGCTCCACCACAGATTAACTGGTTTCAAAACTGCCAGACCTTGTGCAGCTCTGTTCCCTGCGGGTACCGTTTGAGGTGCTGGGATTAGCAGAGCCTGAAAGGATAGGCATGCCAAATAACGAGCAAGTTTAAGCAAGTTTACTATCAGTAAACCGAGGAATAGTATTTACAGTCAAAGGTTTTTTACGGTTATCATTTCAGAACTTGCAGATGGTGGACAGCTTGTTAAAATGACTGTAACGGGAGAGAGAGAAGGGGGAGCAACAATCAAACAGTGTAGGTACCCAGAGTCCTTTGGCAACTTCTGTCACCATGGGGAGAGATGGGCTCCTGCCCACCCCTTCTGACTGGGGAGGGGCTCAGAGATGTTACCTTCCTCACTCGACTGAGGTTTCAGGGGACCACTGGGCCTGTCCAACAGCCATCAGATAACAAACAGCCCCCGCTGCACCCCTACAGTCCCACCTGCATGATCTCACCCCTTCCTTCGCTTTCACTCTGCAATCCCCCTGGCTCTGTTGGCATGAATCAATTTTCTCTTTTTGTTGCCATGTCAGGTTTTTGCCAGCTCAGTGTGCCAACGTAGCTCAGTGTAGGATCAGACAGGAGCCAGAGCCGGCACAAAGGAAGGGGTGGAGTGCAAGAACGAGGACTGGACTGTATAGCCAGCCATTACAGCTTAATCACTGTGGAGCTACAGCCCAAATTTAGCACTTCCAGTTAGGCAATGTGAATATCCCACCATGCTGCCTTCCTTGGGATGCAAACCAAGGCATTTTAAGTATGTTTTACTATGCTGCAAGGATAGCAGCATTTGATTCATAACCATACAAACTCCCTAACAGACACTAAACAGGACTACATAATGCCCCACAGGGGGAAGAGAAATTACCAACTCGAGGCAGCGCTGCATCCTAAAGGAAGATGCAACATTAAAGATTCAGAGGAGAAAAAGGAATAAAAGCAGCCAGCCAGGCTTTAATCCAACGATGCTGTGAAGCAGTCATGTGCAAGGACACTGTCAGCCTCTGCAAAGGTACAGTGGAACTATTAGCATGTTGTCAGTGCTTCTATCTTTAGAAAACTATTTAATCTCAATATTCACTCCATAGTATGTGACAGCATTGGAGGCCCACAAACCCTAAAAATGACTATTCCTTATGTGAAGTAGAGAGAACTGAAAGGTCCTTCCTAATCTTTGATCAAGAATCCTTAATCGAAACTGCACTTGGCTTGGTCTTGCAAAAGTGTCATGAACATTCCCAGTCAGGAACCAAATTCATTTATTCATCATTAACCTGATATAGATGTAAAATAAATGAGAAATAATTGATCTAGCTACCCGAGAAAATATCCTTTCCCACAGTGAGTGTACTTCAGCAAGTCTTGATCAATCTAACTGTACCCTGTCACACAGAAGCGCTGCTATTAACTTGCCCAGCCTGTGCACAAATTAACACAGCCCAGCCACCAAGCACACAGCAGCAATAGCTATAATAAAGCCGAGAGCAAGGTCTGCACTCCTGTGAAGTGGATGCAACTCACATCTCATAATAACTCCATGTCTGGAGCAAGGCCTGAGAAAGCTACACTAAAAATAGGTCCTTCATCTAAAGTCTAATAGAGCATATTTTTATTCTATGAGGAGTTAAGAGTATTTGTAGGAAAGGTTAACAATTCCTCCACGCATTTCTGGTCGGTCCTGTGCTCCACACAAATCACTGAGAGTTTTGAGAGCACAGAGGATCAGGTCTTCAGGTCAACAGCAAATTTAAACTTTGCTGAAACAGTGCTAAAAAGTCAAAATGTCTGTCCAAGTTACAGAGCTTTTCATTTTCTCTCATTTGTGAGTGCTACATCACACTCCTTCAGTTAAGATCTCTTTTTGTCAAGGAAACTAGCATAGTTATCTTCTTTTCAGATAAACCTCTCTTAAAATGTATTCCAATAACCTTTCTGGTTACTAATACATGTGTGTCATAAGTAACGCAGCCGTATAGAAATAGTCCAGACACACAGTAACTTCAGCTCTTTATGGTGTGTCATGGTACAGAGTATACATTTATTCACTGAGGTAATGCAATACGGTGCTAACTAAACAAGACTTTTGAAAAAAATTGCTTCTCCACTGCAAATAAATTTCATTTTCTCCTCTCCACATCTTCTACTTACACATAACCAGGTTTTGTCACTTTACTAATGCTGAGTAGCTCATTGAATTTAATCTGAGCAATGAACGATTTTCATCACCTCTACACACACACAAAGCACTTGCAATTGTTCTAGATACAATGCAAGATCCTCTCAATCTCTAAAAGATGTATGAATTTTTCCAAGTTAAACCATGTAGCTGCTACAAAGCCAACATTATCTCATTGCACTACACTAGACCAGAATAAATTGAAGTCCTTGCCTGAATACAAATGCGTCTTTGTTTCTCTGGATGAAATACGACATGGTTCTCCTCAACCTAGGCTATTTGCATCACCCAAAGGACAAGTACATCACTTTGCAAAGCTTCCAGCTACAAACACTCAGGGACAGTCTATGTGAGTGATTTATGGTGTAGGAGGAGCTGTTTGATGACCAAATTTGACTCTGATCTATAACCAGGGTCTTGCAGTAGGCAATCATCCATGATGCTCGTAACATGGATGCAAGGTCTTGCAGCAGCCAGCTCTCTGCACATGAGCAGCAGATGCCTGTGGCCAGAAACTGGCACAAATTTCACTGCTGGTGAAGACAAAATGTGGACATGTGGTGCTGCAACCATAACAGATCACAGTAAATCAAACTTGTGCTCGCCTCTTTCAGTCACCAGCTGGTAACGCAGATGTACCCATCAACTCAATTCTGATGTCTTTGTTCCTGTTAAAAGCTCTACTGATATTCAGAGGTCCATTCGTGTATTAGTGGTGTCATTCAATGCCCCTAAGCTTGATCTATTTTTTAAAAACCTTATTTTGCAAAAAAATTTACTTTATTGCTGATATATGCAGCCAGGATTTATAGACACTTCTGCTTGAGTAGTAGTATTGGATTCTGATGTCATTATCCTGGAAATGGATCAAGTTGCTGAATGTGTCTCAACTAACAGACCTGGAACCATAACAATTGATTCTAACACTTTCAGGATTATTTACGTGATTATAAAACTGCTGCAAGGTAAGCTTTCAAATATTACAACAATATAGAAATGCTCTTTTAAGGTATCAGTTTAAAAGGGTTTTTTAACCTTATTCTATAAGGTTCAATTCATTTAAGTAGGATTTTTTTTGCAGATATAATCCTCAATGAGTGGAACATTGAATGCTCTTCAAATCAGTGGATCGGGGATTTAATGCTACAGTGGCAAAAGGAGTTTTAGCAAACAAAATACCTGATAGTATCTGACTGTAAAAGAAGGAGAAGAAGGACACTCTATCTTTGAACTGATCATTCAACAGACTCTCAAAAAAACCACTGAAGCTCTTCTTCTTTTAACAGAAACTGGTTATTACAATTTTTTTTTGTTGTTGTTGGTTGGTTGGTTGTTTTTTTTTTTTCCTTATAGTAAAACACATAAGCAATAACATAAAAGCAGCCATAGCTATGGGAACAACTGCTTGCCATAGCTCCTGTAAATGTTAATGTGATTCTTTCCATTGGGCTGATATTTCACTTTCTATGGTCGCAGGATGTTGCTCCACAGGTATTTCTGGAGTATATGGAAACTTAAAGCACAAGAACTGCATTGGTTTTAAACGAAGTGACTCTAGGTTCTTTTCTCATGTGTCCTGGTATAGGAGAAGACCTTGGGGTTGATTGTAAGAGGAACATTCTTCTAATGATGCTTAGTGCAGTTTCCTCATCTGTAGTCACATATTGGTAGGAGCTATGCTAGATGAAAAGGAAATAGAAGAACGATAGGTTTGGTACCAATCATTTTTCTAATGAATGGTCCATCTCGTATGTCAGCAAAGATACAGATTTGGGATTGCAGGAATGTGCGCAATATGTGCAAAGTCATGCCCTACCAGGACTCTGGGGACTGCAGCATGAAACCTAGTTTATTGTTCTCATTTGGAGCTGAACTGGACCTTAGGAGCATAAGCAAGAAGTGGGGTTTAAAAACAATTATACAGCTCTGGTCCTTCTTGTTCACAAAATTAACATCATTCACATGAGTGATCCCATTAAATCCACAGCATTACCTATTGCCCACAAAATGAAAGCCCATAAACTGCTTGACTATCTCTAACCTGAGGGATTTTTTCATCTGTGCACCTTGGGACAAACTAAGAATGACAGGGCTCTGAATTAATTACTTCGCTGTAGCTCTTCTCATTTCATTTCCCATGTAGACAATTGCTAGTGTTTACAAGATCAAGTTCTTAATTGAAAACGTTCACTGTCAGCTCATGCAGTTACCATACAGAGACGACTGCCTGTACTACGTGATATTAACGATCCAGAGATCTTATGTCAAAATGTTTTAATGACACTTTAAGAAGTAAAACATGATTAATGTCACATATTGCCACCATCCTGAGATTGTGCTTTGCTACAATTAAACCACTAGTCAGGAGTTTCAGAATTTCTCAAATCAATGCTATTTTGTATTTAAAAAAATGATTACTCAAAATTCAGAAATGTAGCAGTCACTGTGTGAAAAATCACTTTTCTCTCCAAGTGTAAAATATTTCTCTATTTTAATAATGCCGTTTAATGCTCACAAAATCACATCAGACCAAATCCAACACTGAACTGCTGAGATATACACAAATTGTTTCCTTAGGATCAACGCCCTGGAATTAAAACAATAAAATGTTACTGATATTTCTTGTATAGTAGGAAAACTGCTCATTATATTCAAAATAGCTGTCTTCTGTGTATTCATTTCACCTTCTACATCTGCTTTTTCAGCCTGATTTCAGACTGAGAGTCTACGACATTTATTACACAGTATCATAGGCCCACAAAATTCTCCTGGGTAAATTGGACTGCTACTGCCTGATCTAGCTCGAGCATCTGCTCTTTCTAAAGGAGGACTCCTTCGTTTGAATACCGCCCGAACTGCTCACACTTACTCCACCTGCACCACACTCTTCAGGATTCCTAAGCTAACCAAGGCTGGGTCTAACCAGTATCTTCATGGGACGCATCTACTATTAATTTGAATATGGATATGTTCTAAATTATATTATCTTAATCTTATTTTGCAATAGCTAGAGATTGAAATTGTTCTGTTTCTTCAACAGGCTAGTTCTGCTGTGGAAAAATAAAACAAAATAAAACCCCACAACTCTTCTAGATCTGTAAGTATTTTTTCATTTTATTTGAAATCTAATATAAATTCTAATTTGATTTAATCTATGTTTTTCTATTCTGGCAGGTTTTAACTAAACCAGAGCAACTTATCTCCACTTGTTTCATTACTGACAATATTCTTAACACTTAAATTTAGTTTGTGGCTGAACACATGAGTAAAATGTGTGATTAAAAGTTACACTGCATGGATACTAAAGCACAAACCCTTTCTTTGTATATATCCAATAACTTCACGCTGGATAATATTTGCCCAAGTCAAGGATAGGCCGACATTTGGCTGCCAGACAGGAATACAGAGGTGTCTTTATTTTCAAAATGTGGTATCATTTTTCTCAAGGTAATTAAAAGTGAATTGTGGGGCAGTTCGTATTTCTCTAGCTATATTGAGACATCACAAGCAAAAAAGAATTTCAGCAGAATTTAAGCTCATGCTGGTATCCTACTGTTATAAATAGGTTATTAATAATGATTAATATTTATAAATAAGTTATTTGTAACAGTATTTATCATTTACTTGGATTGCAGCAACTTTCAAGATTGAAAAAAAGATCACACCCTGATGGAGTTTGGAACAAAATGATTCTCTTTGGTGTTAATTCCTGAGCAAGTAAGCAGGCAGCTCCTGCTTTACAGGACGTCCCCCTGCTAGCTCCCCCTGAGTGGAGGACTCCACTGCAGCTCTTTCTGTGGGAAAAAGATAGCTTTTAATCATCTGGTTGGAATTTAAAAGCCCAATCTCAATTTTTACTTTTCAGGTAAGACACACTCACACTCAGTTGAAGGTTCAGCCGTTCTTACTCCCTAACCACCAGCACACCTCTGCTCAAGCCCTCCTCCTTCAGTCCTTTTGCTGAGACAATTGAGCACTATTTCCCAGTCTCAGGAAGTCTCAGTCTCATTCTTACTTTCTATGCTATTTTTCTGTTGACTGACTCCATTAAGCAGCTGCTTAATGTTACTGTGCTGTATGTCAAAGGAACACATACTCATCTTCCCTGCCACCTCCTTCTAGCAAGCAGAAAACCTGATGGATTCTTGGTCAGACAAAATTTGCATTTTAACCAGGCTTCTGGGCAATCAAATTTTTGCCAGTCTGAGTAATTCATCATCTGACAATTTTTCTAATCAGATTTTTCTGTCTCTTTTTAAATATGAATCAGGCCATTTCCCCTTCTTGAACTTATGTTTACTTGAAGCTAATGACATGTCCTTCAGGCTTATCAAGTTAAACCAATGAACAAACAAGACTTCCTTCAGCTGGAGGGCCATAGCAAAAATGATTTGGTAATTTAATACAAAATAATAAAGATCATTATTTTAACTACATTTCAAGATTTTGCTGATGTCTCATTTTCCATTTTACCATCTGTGATAGGTATGCATCTACTTTAGTGAAGACATGCACATGTCTGTTAAGCATAATCATTAAGGAGCAGGAGCAGATATTAAGGCAGATGGAGTTTCCCGCATTCTTCAGCACCAGCCCTCACAAGGCTCTCATACCTGACAATTCCCTCTATCCAACAAGCAAAGTTCTCCTTCACAATGGCAAAGACGGTGTTTAGGAGCGATACTGCCAAAATGATTCACTGGGATGCAGTTATGCTCTCCCTATACTGTTCCAGAACCTGCCACCTGCTTGCAATACAGGTGCTTGCAGCAGAGCAGCTTCCTTCACTTCCTATTTGCAGCAGCAAACTTTAGTGTCCCAGTAATGCGTGAGGGAAGTTCTGCCTGAGACTTCTGTGGGCTCCCAGTGGTGTAAGGAACCTTCAGCTACTCACTAACAGGTAAGAGCGTGGAGCAGGGAGAAGAACATAAAAGGGAAACTGGGAAGAGAAAGGAGATTGTTCAATTTTTAGAAAAGGTCATCTTCAGTGAAATGTATTCATTGCAGAATTTCAATTACCTCTAATAGTTGATAATGGTAGCAGAATGGTCGCTCATACTGAAAACATTTAATTTCTTTGGCTTTAAAGGGCTAACTTTTCTCAGTGCAAATGTAAGTGATTAAGATAGTAGAGAAAAATCTCAGGGCAGCACAACTCATCCTTCTGGTTGTTTTTTTTCTTTACCGTTTATTTTGCAAATTTGCCCACATAAGTGATTGTCGGTCTGTCAAGCATGGACACCATTTAATTAGTCCATACATATACAACATTTTTGTGGCTTCTATCTGCTTCTCTCTAGATAAAATATTCATAAAGAGCTGCCTTTCATTTTCTTAGCTGCTATAGTTACTACAATTAAAATTACATGGATGTCTCCAGCAATTTATATTATAGGAAGAATAAATACAATGGAAACTGCAGGGTGTAAACTGCTTAGCCACTAAGAAAAATACATTATCTATTTCTTAACCTTTCCAATATGCTGCAACTTTTTACAAGCGAAAAGTATACCTTAGCCACATGAAACTGCATATGCATACACCTCCTCCTAGGTAATCTCCTGCCATGGACTAGGAGAATGGATTCACTAGATGGCTTCTAGGGCCCTTCTCATATGTTTTATATTATTCTAATAATAAATGAAAACAGTTTATTTTTCTATTTCTTCAAATAAACTGAAACTGAATAAAATTGTGTCTTCTTGGTCCTAGCAATCTGCTAGTTTAAAACTTAGCAGCCTCTGACGATGAACCAAGTGTGAACGTTTCTTTGATAGCATGTTTTCTAAATACCATCAAAGGGTATTTTCCAATGCATTTCAGAACCTAGCTAGAAGAAAAGCCCTTAGATTTTGAACTTAGAATTTCTGGCTTGAACAAGATGAGGCTATTTTAATTTATTTGAGTAATACAGTCATAAGATTACATCAGTCCAATGAAATAATATTGTCTACAATGGTAGGTCTACTGTACATTTCACTTACTGTTATACTAACTTGAATCCCCTGGAAAAATAGAGTTCTCTGAAAGGCAAATCTGACAACAGTATTGTGAGCTGGGGAATTTCTGAGTTGGCTTAAAAGATGAAGAAATATTTATACAAATAGGTCTTATTTTGTCAAGAGGGCAAATCAAGATTGAAAACATACAGGCAAGTCTTTTTCAAAGCCGTATGTAGTCTGTACACAGTAAATTGGCTCAAGGTCAGAGGCCAGACTCTGTGCTGCATTTCTCTGAGGCAACACACAGAAGGTAGAGGTCCAAGGGGGATGGGACAGTTAGAGAGGACAGAGTAAAGCAAATGACACTTCATCCTATATTTGCAACTCCCAGATTCCGAGCTGCCTCAAGGTAAAATCCTCAGCAAGATTTGCTGTAGTGTATGGCAGCTTCCTCACTGCCATCCACAAGCTGTTCTGCAGCCCAGGGCTGCAAGAGCATACTGCTCTAAACTTGTCTTTACCTAACAAGAGGGAACAAGGGCGCACATGCATGCCACTCCTTCATGGGCAATCTTAATCCTTACTTTGGCTTCTGTATACATCTGGAAAGGCTGTGCCAGGATTAGGTGTCTTCTCTTGTAGATCACAGTATGTGATTGCCTTTAATAAAGCAATTCACAAAGGAGGCTGGTCGATGGGAATTGATACAAAAACAAACATAGGTTGGTAGAGACACATATCTGAGATGAGGAAACACTACTGTTTGACTGTGAATTATGGTGACAATGTGTATTTAGCTATGCTCCCCATCTAAAGTTCACAATCAGAAAATATTTCTCGACTCTGTGATACATTATATTTATTTAGAAAACTCCAACTTTTCACTTATTTATGAACACAACTTTCATCGAGTATAAAGTAGAAGTGTCTAAGGAAGAACAGACCCACACTGTTCGCAAAATTAGTTTTCCCTTGACACATTACTTAAACGAAGACATTTTATGTGGTAAGAACGTGACCTACCTTTTTAGTCTGATTCACATTTACCAAACTGCAACTTCAAAATGCCTTTGCCATGAAGCTGAAGGAGCTGGTTGTATTCTTTGGGCATTGCATGGAAACCTGGTTTAGGCAGCTGGTTGTCGTAATAGTGGTGGCTGATTGGCATCTTCTCTGTGGATTTTGAGAAAGGCCAGAAGCCATAGAGCTTCACATTCTCACACAGCTCAAGAGCCGCACTAGTGATCATAAAACCAGATGACAACCGGTAGGCTTTCACACCCTTAGTTCTCCAGAACTGGGCAAGACTTTTCAGATAGGTGGGGTGAAAAAATATTGCCCTTTGGGTTGCTTTAAACTCTTGCAGAGTGTGATATACTTTAAAAGAAGTGGCTGTGTTGCTTCTGAAGGAAAACGCTGGCAATAAAAGGAAAGCATCTCCATAGACTGTAATGTTCTCCAGAAATTCTGTCTTCTTTTCATTTAGTTTGTTGTATCTGCAAAGTACATTTTAGAAAAAGAGTGAATGGAATGTACTATTGATATAATTATTACAGACCAAACCAGCACAACTGCACTTGCATATATGAGTTACGAACTCTGCTGCACCAGCTCAGCATGTCTGCATTGCAAATTTATACCAACCTGTTACATGTTGTCATATGTGCAGTTATGAAAATGTGGCTTTATTGTATAATAAGAGCACACTCCATTGGATTGAATTGGCAACATGGGAGCTTCTGAAGCAGATCAAATTCACTGCTAATGAGATCGGGTCCTGTTTACAGAATTGATTAATCCAAGAAATTTCAAAGGAAAATGAGAAAAAAACTGTCTTTATACTTTATTTAAAAATACATGTGCTATGATATGTCCTGCATGTGTTTGTGAAATGTGTTTCTTACTTCAATAGGTATACAATCATCTCTTTTCAAAATCTGGGTGTCTGCCCTGTATGGAAATACAAGTATGCATGTGAGCAGTCTTGAAGTGTTAAAAATTATTGTGTGCTCAAGTTTTGCAGGGTCTTAGCTTTTTTTATATACTTTTGAAATAGCTGAAAATATAGGCATGTCTATTTATCTCCTTCGACTATAAAGGGAACACATGGAGATCTGTAAAGACTTGAAGATCTAACTTTACAAATGAAGAGGATTTTTCCTTAGATGATTTGGTTCCTCAACAACCAGAAAAGGGACTTAGTTGTCACCATTGGATAATTCTGTGTTCCCAAATATTGAATAATGAACTTCCAGAGTTATACAAGTGCTGCAAGGGACACTTGGGGGTCACTCAACTTGTTTCCTCTACAGATCTGACTTGTCCGAATCACCTGAACATATGGTGCTTGCACCTTCTTTGGGATTCAAAGCACTGAGTCCTCTTTTGTAGGTAGTTTTCTATTTGAGCAGTGCTCTTTCATCTTTTAAGGGGTACCAGAGCCCACTTTTCACAAATGGCTCCAGCAGAAACTGGAAAACTTGCTTTCATTGTTCTTCACAACTTGAGTAAGTTCAAACCCTCTTCTCATGCAGCACTTCAAGACAGAGGACAGCAGCCACTGCCAGTTCCATTCAAAACTCTCACAGAGGGGTTATCAGTTACCTCTTGCACAACTGAACTCATGCAAGGAGTGATACACCCCTTCTCAGCCTGAGGAGGTTTAAACTTACAGCTTCTGCTTCCCAGAAAAGTGCCATTACCACCAGACTCTGAAACAAAATGAATGAGAGAGACTCAGCCCCTCCTGTAGACCCTGGCCCCTGCACATGCAAGAGTCGCACCACCAAAACAAGCAAGAAACATCTGAGCTTATGTCTAGGAAGAACGTCTGAAGGGTAAACTGCCCTCTACTCCAAGAATTTTCTCTATTTCTACTCAGTGTAAAGTATATAAAAAGCCTTCAGGATAAAATTAAGATATTTGTTCTTCCTTAGCTAGAAGTCTGAACAACTCAACCTTGTCTTTGTTTTCCTTTCCAGTTCTGCCACTGTAAGGTGCAGTGTAGCCCAGCTCCATTAAGACACGTAAGAACTATGCTTCTCTCCTCCAAGAGAGTTCACCTACATTGTACAGTCTGACAGACACAGTTCAAAAGCTTCAAACCTTAACAATAATAACATCAGACTCAGTACCCAAACACAGAATTATAAATTAAAGTGAATAGTCAGAATAAGTCTTCTGAGAGAAGATACAAACTTAGTTCTGCTAAATGGTGCCAAGTTGCTTCCTGATCCTCCTTCAAAAGCACTTACAGTGTTCCCTGAATATTTCAGTAGTTATTTTTTTTTAAATCCTACAGTCCTCTCATAATCGCACTTCATCCTCATACAGGTTTAGCTCTTATTTTCTTCAGCGTGGTTCCTATTAACCCTGGTGTGGCTTAATTTGGCTAAAAAATGAGTGCAGCTGTGGCAGAACACTTTGATCAAGCCCAGACAAATTGTGCATCATGTCAGTAGTCACCAACGATGCTGAGTCACTGGACAAAGTTTTCCTTCCTCATATTCTTGTGCAGCCCCACTAACATCAATGAACTAAATCTATTTTTGGGGAAGCAACAATACACCTTCATTTAAGTCCAAAAAGGCTGGGTAAGCATCAAGGTTATTAGTACTCATTGCAAAAAATCAAGTTCTACCCTTGAATCAATGACAAATGCCTGTTAGTCATTTCTATGCTCATGGTACTTTTTCCTTCTGCCTTTAAAGGAAAAAAAAAAAAAAAAAAGCTTTGCCTGATGTTGTCTATTTGACGAATACAGATATGACAGACAATAAGATACAGTAAGATCAGTAAGGAGTAAATAACATGCCACAGCAGTCCTTTCCATAGATAAGCTGCAGTTCCAGCCTGCTGAAGAGGTCAGATTACTCAGCCTGGCCTTATTAGATTTTCTTTTCATCAAGAAGGTGAAAAAAAACCCCACAACTCTGCTGAGAAAAAAGCGTGTGAGCAGCTTTCGTATGGATTGAGAAAATGGATTAAAGAAATTGTGCCTCCATTCAGGAAATAGCCTTCATCAGAATAGCCTCTAAGCACAATACCGAAGAACATGTGCTTACAGTCCTACTGATAGTCGGACACACATTTCCAAGCTTTCCTGATTTATGATTACAATTCCTTTCTTATGCTGGGGGTCATGAGGGTCATGGCAGGGAAAAGAAGTTGTTTGGGCATGCAATCATCAATTTTATTCTGTCAAAAATTGTGGACTGGTACCAGCTAAGGCACTTGCTAATCTGGGTATTGCTGGCTCCTTTCTGCCTCAAAAAAGCCAGGTTTAACAGATTTCCATTTGGACTGGGACATATTTCACATGGGAACTAAGGCTTAATGAAATAATTTGCATGCACTGCTCTCTGTGCTGGTATCCCAACGGATTTCCAGCAAAATCTAAATCATGTCAAACAATTATACAATATTGCACAGAAACAGATTTGCAGTGGTACTTACTTCTGAGATATGATACTCGGATTAACAGTCACAAGGTTTGTTTTATTGCCAACATCTTTGCTAATGCTTCCCGAGGTTGGAGGGAGGTTACACCTGAAATTGAGAAACATTTACTTAAACAGATGTGCACCAGAAATGCTTTACAGTTATTATTTGCAAATTCCTCTCTTGTGTAATGATACTTTCACATCAGCTCCCAGGGATCTCTAAGCACTTTACAAATATTAAATAAGGCTTACAGCACTTCTAGTAAAAAAATTTAATCTACTGTACAGATGGTTAAAATAGGGCACAGAGAGCTCATTTTCATAAATCATCTTACAAATCAGGACCAAGGTTAAAATCCCAGAAGGAGCCAGTCTATGAATGCCCTATGTTCGCTGCTGGGAAATACTGCCCTTTTTGCCTAAACAATGTTATTTCTTCTGAAAGTCTTCTATTCTTTTCTGTTTAAAACCAGTCTGATTAATACCAGTCCCTCGGCTTGCACAGCAATGTTGACAGCTGTTTCATGAGACAACAGCAGCATAACTTGTCGAATTGCAGAAACATTGGTTTCTGTACCAGGTAAGGAAAGTACTTTTTTAAAGTCAGTCACTTAGTAGGTTTAGCATCTTGGTATGTAGATTTCCCATTTTTATTAACACAGTTATCTAACTGGAAAGACTTTTTTTTTTTTTTAATCTGAAAAGCCCAAATATTAGTCAAAAGCAGGGAAGAAAACAAAAAGCAGCAGACTGTGTGACTGGACATCACTGAGAGAACCTTCACTTGTTAGTCTGTTCCCTTGCAGGAACTATGAACTGTGTGTCACATACTGACAGAGTGAGCCAAATTATACTCTGAGCATGCCTGGTATTCTCCACAATCTATAGAAGGAGATGAAAAATACCTATTTAAAGTAGATGTCTAATTTTTTAAATGGCTAACAGAAGGTGAGACAAATACCGGAGGGGGCGGGTGTTAATAACTGCTTCAGTGAGCCAATCTAAGGCTAAGTAAACACTTTGTTAAACCAGAGGTAAAAGTAAACATGTGACATTTAATACCAGTCTTTTTCAACTTCAGGGTTTTCTTTATTCTCTTCTCTTGATAAAAAAAAAAAAAGAAAGAAGGAAAAAAACCAGTTCTCTCTACTGAAGGATGTTAAATGAACAGAAATTTCAGGTTCTCAGATAATCATGTTTCACATCACTGGCAAGGTATCTTTGCAATCATAGATCATATATGTATCCATATAGTCCTCTTTATACTTAGGAACCAGCATTCCGAAATCTACAAAGCAGAAGGACTACCCTTAGAGAGGCAGAAATAAAGAATTGTCAAGATCCTTCCTCATTACTACAAACTGGCGTTGGCGTGCTTCCAAGCTTGCCAAGTTTGTAGAAACATTTGACACCCTTCAGTAAGATGAAGCAGCTCTTACCTAAACACAAAGTCAGAACGATCGATTTCTGCTCCGCAGCTGGAATTTTTCAGAATGCCTCCATTTCCAACCACGGCACAGGTCTTGAAGGGATAGACTGAAAGAGGAGAGGACTGCAAACAAATAAAAAGACATAGCCAATGCCTTATAAATCTTTTCATTGTTTCTTCACGTCTTTAGTCATATGTCCTTGCAGGTTTAATCCAGTAAATCACAGTGAAAACATTCACCATTTAGCAGGCAGGGTTGCTAGCCAAGAGTCAAAAATAGGCATCAAAAACTGCTACTTCTGTCATCAGTACTTTGAGGGAAGGATTGTTAAACTAACTGGATTTTTAAAACAGGATTAATATCTTTTAAATATACTTAACTCAAAAATTATCTAGTAGTGGACTGAATGCTTGACAAGCTAAGGAACTGACTCGTACTGAAGATTGTTTACATTTCCCCATTTTCCTTTGCACTGTAACAGACTGGGAGTTGTCACATAGTCATTGACTTTGTCAGCTAACGGAAGGTAACTTTGTAAACACTTATTAGTGTGTCATCACACAATTAAATTTGATGTAAAATAACGAATTTAGGGGAACCTGGAGATGCTCTAAAGGATAATCATGTGCCCTGGCTTAACTCATGGTGAATGTGACAGCTAACTGAAGAGGTTACTGTGTCTGGCTGTTCACCGTCTCTACTCCTCCCCTTGTTAGAGGTTGCTGTCTTGCAGTGCTGAAGCTGAAAGGGAGCTAAGCGCACTCACTTGGGAACCAGCACAGATCACAACCTAGCAAATTAATGTAAATTGTTGGCCATTTTAGCTGACATTAATATAGTTGTCTGTTATCTCAGGGTCTCAGAAACATATCTTATATCTTGTTCAGCCTCTCCTGCTGTGGAAGCACTGACATTCAACAGAAAAGGCCAACAGCTGGGGTACTTCGACTGCAGAAACTGAACTCACTTGTAAAACTGAGTCAAACCTTGCTTACACAAAGTGTTATCCTTCCTTATCCTCTCATCAGATTGCCCAAAGAGAAGCAGGAAGGGATGCTGTTATGAACGAGGCAAAATGTATGGGGAAAGTGGCAGACATTATGTTGTCCGGCAATATATTACAAAAAAACATGTTAAAATATTTTGTTCAATTCTGAAAAGACAGTAGGAGAACACAAAGGCCAGACAACTCTGGCTAGCTTTGCAAGTATATACTCACATAAAACATACGACTTTTTTCTTTCATTGTTTAAATTTGGAACGACTGTAACCTCTATTGCAATGAAGTTTTTAGTGATTCACAGCAGCAGTAAAAAGCACTAGACTCATGGTAGCTGCGATCTCACAATTCAAGAATGCCAGAGACAGGTAAGAGGGCTCCCACATGCTCTTACTTTTGAGAAATTCTCTGTGCTCCTCTTTGTCTGGTCTCCAGAGCTTATATGTCTATTGTAAGTCCTGAGCTACAAAATCTGATTCCTTTGCTCAATCTGTGTTTCTGGCTGCAAAGGCCCCATCCCAGTGGGCAACAAAGATGGTGAAAGGGCTGGAAGGAATGTCCTATGAGGAGCAGCTAAAGGCTTTGGGCTTGTCTAGTTTGGACAAAAGGAGGCTGAGGGGCAACCTCATTGCTCTCTACAGCTTCCTGAGGAGGGGAAATGGAGAAGGAAGTGCTGATCTCTTCTCCCTGATATCCAGTGACAGGACATGTAGGAGTTGTCCAAAGCTGCACCAGGAGAGATTTAGACTGGGCATTAGGAAGCATTTCTTTACCGAGAGGGTGGTCAAACACTGGAACAGGTTTCTTAGAGAGGTGGTTGGCGCCCCAAGCCTGTCAGTGTTTGAGAGGCATTTGGACAATGCCCTTAATAACATGCTTTAACTTCCCGTCAGCCCTGAATTGGTCAGGCAGTTGGACTAGATGACTGTTGTAGATCCTTTCCAACTGAAATATCATATCATATCATATCATATCATATCATATCATATCATATCATATCATATCATATCATATCATATCATATCATATCATATTCTGTATCAGGTTTACCACCAAAATAGCTTTCGTAAGTTATATGCCCAAGCCTGCACCAGAAATGGCACAGGAATACAAGGAATATGAAATGTTGTTCCAGACTGAAATGCCTTTGAAAATGGGAATGAGAAAAGCAAGGGAATTGTTCTTGAAGGATTCACTCCTGGATTCAGCTGGCTGCCAAGTCAGGCTCCAACTTGTGTTCTGTAGGAACTCTACCTACAATCTGACCCTGTTCACACCTCCGCCACTGCAGAGGAAGGCGAAAGAAAAGTCTTACAAGGTCAATGAAGAAGTGCATACAGAGAGTGAAGGGTCTCTTCCAGAGGAATCAAACAAAGCAGCTCTATTACTAACCCGAAATATATATGATACTGCAATTATAATAACAGGTAAAGATACAGTTCTTACCACAGGCAGCATCTTAAAAATGTCTTCTGTAATGAGGATGGTCTTTTTACTGTCCACTTCGTAACTCATGTTACTTCCCAGTGGGGTGTTGTTTTGAGAAGCAATAAAATTGTGAACTGCATCACAGCAGGAAGCTAATTCTGACCTGCAAAAAAACCCAAACAAAACCTGCTCAAAGACAGGCAAATAAGTAGGTGAGTGGTGGCAGAGAACTAGATGAATGAAAACCAGTTCTCATTAACTAAGCAACAAAAGGCTATAGGAACCCTCTATAATGTCATTTCCCTTGACTTCCTTTGGAGAGCAAGTCCATTTTCACAGTAAATGTTCAGAAACTAATCTGACTAAGAACTCCTTTTCTTATCCTGTTTTTCTTTCTTGGTCTCCCTTTCCCATCCAGAAAAAGTTGTAATCGATCTTCTCCTTAATATTAATTGCTAAAGTTATTATAGAAACACTGAGAGATCTCAGTCTCCAAAGAATTAACAATGTGATTTCCATCAACACAGAATGAGTGATTGTAAGAAACTAGAAGGCTGAAAAAAGAAAACCAAGGAGATGAAAGGAATGGTGATGCAAAGTACTGGTTATAGTACTTCGTGAACAGCTAGATGTTTGCAAGCCAATTAATTAATAATCCATTTCTGCAACTGTTCAGCATGGGTTTTCTGGGCACAGTATCACAGATGTTAAATAAATTACATCACAACTTGCAAATAAAGAAGATGGATATCTTCATGGTAAAGACAGTCTAGCTGCTCCCTGAAACACCTAGCAGAAGTCCTTAAATAGGTAACAGTGTAAGGAATTCACTCAAACTTTATGTAGGAATGAAGGCTATCACTCATCTGACAATTCCTGTTACCTCCAAGCTTATAAAAATATTATGTGTGTAAACATCCTATATTATTAACAGTGAAATGCAACGAAAAGCCCCATCAGACCTGAAACACTATAATTCATTTTGCTTTAGGGAACAATGGTCTCTCTGCTGCCACTGGATCCAATTTTCAGACTGTAAGGCTGGAATATTCATGGCCAGCCGTTATCTATCAATAGGTAGGGCATAGCTATCTCATTAGTGAGATACTAAGAGAACTACTAACCGTTTAGAGAATAAAATTCATTGGTAACAGGATTGCTTGAAATTTTGAAGACAACACAGCAGGAAAAAGATAATAATTCCTGTTCTAACACTGAAAGTTAATTGTGGAAAAAAAAAAAATATTTACAGTTAGAGCCAGAGGAATAGAAAAGTTTTATTTCATACTTTTTCAGTGAGTATGGTAAACCAAATCATTGAACTAGTTAAACAATATAGGCCACATTCTGGCTGAAAGTAAGCTGACTTTAACAGGGTAAGAGACAGGTAAGAGAAGTTGCTTCATTCAACTTTATTAACAATGTACACACAGCAAATATTCTAATAATAATAACATTTTATTTCTGATGGAGATGAGGCATAGTCTAGCACCTGGAAGAACCCAAGGATTATGTTTCCTGGAAGACAAGGAAGAGAATGAACAGGTCTGGGATAACTCTCAGTCTCACTTCTCTTGAAATAATGGTCAAAATGGGGGAAAAAAAGGTTCAGAAGTTTGGTTTGATTCATACCTAAAATATCAAAGGAAAGAGTACCATTTCAACTGTGAGATGGCTTACTGGTATATATTAACATGTTTTGAATACTGAGCTCTGAAACTCCTCAAAGATAAAGTTTCCAGATATATGAGGAACACTGGGAACAACTGAGTGCTGGGACGGCACAGATATATAATTATACTAGGAGAGTTACCAGAAAATGTTAACAGGAAATATTACTCCTGAGAGAGGAAACAGTAGGGTTCAGATCTCCACAAGTCATATTCAGCTCTACTCCCTGAACACAGTGATTCCCACTCCCTTGCTCGAAGCCGTAAGTGGCAGGGGGGGTCTGTGGTCAACGAAAACCACTAGTTACAAGGGTGGGGATGGAACGGAGACTATACTCTTGTGGGTTGGGAGGTGCACACATGGTGAAAACAACTGCTCTGGGCATGTAGCATCCTATTTTAAACATATGGAAAAATAGAAATGGAGCAATGAGACAGGAGAGTCAAATTATAAAGTTTGAGAACAGTGCATGTTATTGAACCACTCTTGACTACAGTCCACTTGCTTTTCTTTCTTGTATGCTTTTTCCTATAACCAACTTTTTCTAACCTTAATATGTACTGCAGTAATAAAAGGATTCAGATATCACTACCCCTGCCCAGCCCTCCGGGGCTGCTCCATGCTGCCCATGGCCCAGGACTCCATTTGAGTTCCCCAGAGCCCTTAGTCCCTGCCCCAGCAAAACTGCAGCAGGGCTGGTCTCCAGCTGTGCCCATCCAGTCCCCTGCGAGGTGCCTGATGCCCAGGGCTGGGGCTGTTCCACTCCTGGATGGGGACAGGACGAGCCTGGCTGCCAGTCTCTGCTCTGTGGGCCAGGTTATTGTGCTGAGATCCCACTCCCTGTTCTTCACTGCTCCCTGGCAATCACATGGAGATGAGGAATCACGAAAAACATAATTTTGATTTCCTTGATTTTTTTCTTAAAGCCAAATGAAGCAGGCCTAAATATTATCTATGTCAACCACAGAACATTCAGAGGAGAAGAAATAACACCAAAATATTCCTGCCCAGCTTTAGTAAAACAGCTGTTTTGTGTGTGATGGCTACCAGAAACTGAAAAAGCAAACGGATGATAGATAACATTCATTAATACAGATTACGCATTTTTTGCTTTTTCTTACTCATTCCACAAGAATGAGTGCTTCAATAAAAGCAGAAACTGTCTGGAAGAAAAGCAGGTATCAGCATTAATAAGAAAGTAATAGCTTAAATTAATATTATGGATCCATTGAGGAAGTAAAACAAAGCCAGGCTAGTTCAGAAACGCAACGAGAACAAGATAATACATATTGATTAACGACATATATTCTTACGTTACCTAAGAGCATAAGAGCTAAAAATTTGGAGGTAAAAATAGAAATCTCTTACATAGATCAAATCATGACACAGAATCCCACCATGGCCAAGCATCCATGTACACAACTCCAGCGGGAGGGAACTCATGTAACCTTCAGACAGCAATACCCACTGGCAATATATTTAGTCTTCTGTTCATACAGGATTTTGTACAAGCTGTGACATATGCTACATCCACAACTGACAGCAAACAATGAGGCAGGGGTAGAGACTGGGCAGTTCAAGCAATCTATTACTGCAACAGTCATCACAGCCTTAATGTCATATTAATGTGGTCTCTGTCATGAGGTAACAACACCCTAAAAAAGCATGTACTTTATAAGATTATGACATGTATTGCACAAGTCAATTATTTTAAAAAGAACATCTTTCAAGTCGTTGCAAAGCCAAGACAACATTTTAACTCACGTATCATGCCACCTGGGCAGAGAGAAATTGTTAAAACCTACCATACAAAGAAGTTTCTAACCAGATAGTGGGATAAGAGACAAGGGTCAGAATCTTAACAGCTCCAAATGGTACTACCTTAAAGCCAAACTCTGCATTTTCTTTGGAAGAGTAGGAGGTGATTCACATTGTCTGTTCTGACCAGGAGAAAATGCTGAGATATGGAGACAGCTCTTGGAAGATAAGATGTTGCTATACAGGCTGAGCATCCACTTCAGGTATGTGTGAGAACATGGATGTAGCTTACAGTAAGAAGGTTTAAATTCCAGCTATTCATAGAGCTGCTAGACTTGGAGTTTGCCCTAGGAAAAAGTGTTTTTATGATCCAGTCACAGAAGACTAGAGTGAAAGAAGCTGGAGTCCCAGTTTTTGTAGGTTCCTAGGTTTGGAAAGTATCTCCTTCGGAGTACAGGTTGATACTGCTAGTTTCTTATTTGGAGGAAGACCTCTCTCCAATATTTCTCCTGCAAGCAGCTGGAAGCAGAGTGAGGCTTAAGAGCTATTTTTAAATCCTGAGGTGTAACAACAACCACACATACTTCTTATGCTAAGACAAGCAGAAAGTGAGTTGATTGCATTATCTGGAAATTTCACTTGTAACAAGTAAGGAACAAAATCAGTATCTGGAAAAAGACTACACCATTTGGATGGGTAATACATACCTCATAAAACTGAGTAAGCACAGTCATGATAGTCTTAATCAATAACCTAACTGGAGCGGTGCGCTGCATTTGTCTGTGAAGTTTTGTTCGTATTAGACAATACAGAGTCATCGTTGCACTGGAGAATGTTTTTTGTTGCTCAGCCTACACTTCTGCTGAATTGCACTCTTTGTGGACCAAGGACGCTGGACTCATTTTTGGATTGAGGTCAGCTGGGATGGAATTCTGGGCCCACATGGCATCCAGATAATTTCTTCAGGTTTGTGGCTGCTGAGAAATTAAGAAAATCCGGGTTTCTGAAGCAAGTCGTCAAGGTTTTGAGGCAAGCCAAAGGAATAATGTTGTTTTCCAACTGCTATGCAGTTAGTCCACACTGAACTGTAGGCAGTAATAGAGGACTGCTGCTTTGATTGTACATGTTTCCCAACCCTTCTGCACAACACAAACACTTCACATGAATAGCGCACTCTATTTAGTGAAACCAGTAAGTATCTACAGGATCTGAATATGATGATATAGTTTCTTTGCAGCTCCTGTAGTATCTCTGTAGCCAAGATTGAACTATTGTATCCATCCCAGCAGCAAAATTAATTAGCTCCGCTTGGTTCTGCACTAATACGAAAATATACCTTTTAGCTGGTTCAGTGCTTGCACGTGTCTGCTGACAAGACACGGCGTGCACACATCTTGAAGAGACTGCAAGTGTCTCAACGTCTTCCTTCCAACAACTCAGTTTGAACCAGCCATAAGGGCTAAAGCAGTCAATGGTTAGTCAAGGGCTCAGCTGGTCCAAAAGCCAGGACTGTCCTTATCCTGAGTGGAATGGCATGAATCTATACTAAGGGTGAAATTTGTCTTTATGCAAAGAGCTTCTGCAGAGTTTAGAAACTCCTTACTCCTCCAAACTACTGATAAAAGCAGCAAGAGGAGCTTTGATTCATTCTCCTTGCAGTAATTAGGATGTTTTTTTATTCAGAACCCCTTCTTTCATTAGAAAATGCTTTGCTAAAGTAATTTTGTTCTATAT